TCGTAGAGACGTTAATGAAGCCAGATGATTGTTTTGTTGTTATTAGAATCTCTTATATGAACCAAATGAAAGAATTTTGGGACAAGTGAACTCAGAATGTATCCCTCTCATTGGTTACATCAGAATTGAGGTAAACTGGTGGCTGGTAGTGTTTGATAATGCACCAAATAATGACGTTGAAAAGACTGTAGATTTTTAAACAATTACGTACACTAACAAAAAGATTGAACAAAGACATGCCGACACGTCTGGAGTAGGAAATTTCTTTTTTAAAACATTTGAAAACCGGGCGAGTCCTGCAGCTCTGCTCGTTTCATCTATATATTTTTTCTATTCTATTATGTGTAGAGAAAAAGTTTTGTAACTTGAAGGAAGGGGATCATTGGCTGGAATCACATTCCTCAAATAGACATAATTACATAGTCTATTAATATTCGAGGAAAGTACAGGTATTACTGGAAAAAATACATCACATTCCCTTGCTTGCTTCCATGCAGAAGTGCTTGCTTCCTCTTTTACACGATGTTCAGGTTTTTCTTGATAACTCTGATGTAGGTTTTGATGGATAGAATGAAAAGGGATTTTTGCATTGATTGGTACTAATAGTTTAATTTCAGCCCATTATTACGCGAAACGGGTGATTTTCTTGTTCGAGCAAGCCAAATTGGTGATTACTACACACTCGTATTGAACGTAAAGGTAAGCTGCCCGATCACAAAATATTGGTGAGTATGACCAATTAAAAAAATCCTCTTACATACGTAGAGAGTACGTTTTCTATGTATTGATCTGATCGCTAGAGCTAGACGAATAATTGTCTAAGGCGATTGCTCAGCAAAGGATTTTCTACTAGATTTCAATGCATATCTTCAATCGGAGTAGAACTATTACAATTTTACACTAACGATTATCATTGATTGCCTTGCTGTTAAAACTGCAATTCGCGTTAAATAACTGAATAGCATTCTTCCCAGAATGGTTCTGAAATCGACAACTTGACAATAAGTGTGGTTGACGATCAATTCACTCTACATTACTTACTGGCCAAAGGAAATTCTGTGAAGTTTCCAACAGTTGGTCATCTTATAAAGTATTACAAGGTTGTCCCAAAATAAAATTTATATATGAAAGGAGGTTGGCCTACTTTCAGAAACATCGACTTCCTAACGAAAGACGTCTTGTAAAGGCAGTAAAACGTCCGTGGTGGTTAGTACACCACTCTTCTGTTGCTTATGATGAGGTGAGTTGATTAATGAGA